GAAGGGAGGGAGGGAGAAAAGAAAGGGAAAATAAGGTGGTGTCACAACAGGAGGAAGGGATGGTAAATAAAGCAACCCAAACTGTATACTACAACCTATTAAATGAAATAATAAATGTATAAGAATGATAAATGTAAAGAAGAATAACAATTATGTGAATGTATACTTAAAATGGTATGTAAGAGAATTAAAAAAAATAAAAATTCTTTGGAAGAGTGTAGGGGGAACAATTGAGTCCAATGAAATGAGAGGACAAATTGGACTGCTAAGGTTATGAAACATTTCTCCTTACCCTATGTGTGCATGTACACACCCATTGCACAACCAGGGTGCAAACAATTTTCATTTGTTAAGCCTTCTTTTTAAGTGGTCTAAACAGCAAGCTTCAAATCAGTAGATTAATTGGGAGTTTATCAAATTTTCTCTTTTCATCTAAAAATAGGGGGAAACCTATCCAGAGAGGCCTAATTTTAGGGGAAAGGGGGAGGAGAAAGGAGAGGATTATGCATTACAAACCTGTGCAGAGAAGCATGTATGCAATCAATAAGAATTCTAGCTAAAAGGAGAATGGCTTGGAACAGTCACACGTGATACAATGCTGTAGGGAGTTCTGGTGCCTTTCGGATCATGAATAATTGAATTATCCAAATAGAGCTGATGACATTGAAGAATTACCCCTACCAAGAAGAACGTGATCAACACAAAGTAACCAATTACACAGCGCTACAATTTTCCTGCATGTCTGATTGAATGATCCAATTAGACTCAATTAAGAAATCTGCAGGCCTAGAGCTGCAGGCTGCCCCTGGACAGTCTTTCTGTAGCCCTTAGGGCTCCCTGAGACCATGGTTGGTTGCACCTGGTGGCCTAATTCCCTGCTGTTGTGCAAAACACACACAAATATAATCACTGTAGTCACTCATATAGAGATGCAGCAGGAATTCCCCCTGCCATTTTGGTCAAGTATATACATTCCTTATGACCAGCTGTTATTTTCTTCTCACCAGTACCACACTGTGGCATGTAAGTTGGGGCTGATCAGTGGCTTCAATGCCATAAGCAGTATTTACAGTTAGCATCTAAACCAGCAGTAAACCACCAGGATCAATTTTTGCCAATGGGGCCAACTTTTTCCACCTCTCTAAGAAAACAATCAAGATACTCCTGTTTGGTCCAGAATTATGGATTAAACCGTAATGATTTTAAGGATATTTTAAAAAGGATTTTAACTATTTTATGTTTTCTTTTGTCTTTACTGTGAGCTGCCAAGTATTCATTAGGTAGGGGAAAAAACCCCACAGAGCAATTTCTCTGTTAGATTAACTCAAATTTCACAAAATTCCTGCACGTTTTCGTGCTTCAAATTTGAAATGATTTTGTAAAATTTTAGTTTGTACAATAGAAGGGATTTTGTTTTCCCTGTGATTGACATAGCTGCTATTGTTTTCTATAAGTAAAACTGTTGATGTGAATGTTTAAAACTACTCCCCATCTCCTTTTAAAAAACAGCCTTGTGAAGAGGAGAAACAACATTTGAGATCTACTACTTTGGTACTTAACTATCAGGATATCTCTCCTGTTTTCTTTTGTTCTAGTCCGCTGTATATTTGCACTGCTTAAGACAAATAACTACAAAGAAATCAAAGTGTCCTCTCTCTCTTTCTGCACCGCACCAGCATTTCATATTCTGTTTTAAGACTGCAGATGAAAATCAGAAAGTAAAAGGAGGCTTGCTTGTCCTTCAATCTTGATCCGACTGGTGAAAAAATAATTCTGCTGCTTTATCTTACCAACAATAAATATTCATAGTCTTGAAGCCGGTCACTCCCAACCTGCATGCTACAGGATAGTCATTGTTGATCATAAGGAATACATGCAGTGAAATGAGGAAAAGCCCGAGCTTCATCTACATCTCTGCTACATCTATGCATGAATTACTGCCCTTGTTTTATTCTTCTATTTAGCTTCCGCTGGGGCATGAGAACAGTAGGTAATTTTCAAACGGCTAAGCCCAAGTCTCAAGGGAGTCAATTCCATAAGAACAACCATTTCTTTCTTTCAAGAGCAGTCTTTCCTCCATTCCTCTCCCCACACCCCCACCCACACATACACACCAACCCTGTGAAGGTGGTTGGACTAATGGGTACCCTTTTGCCTAATTTGCATATAGTTTTAAAATAATGCCATTTTAGAAACAGGGAATTTTTCTGCAGTGGAAAATGTAACAACAGAAAAATGTTCCGTCCCACACCCCTATCCTCGAGGCTTTCTGACATGAAGGGTAAATTCCTGGCATCTGTACATGAGAATTTGTCCTAATTTCAGAAATGTGTGGTAATGACCATAATTTCGGGGAGGGGGTGGTGGCTGCAGCAGGGAAATATTTCTATTTCTCTGAATTTTTCAGGATGCATTTTTGTTATTGTTATCTGTAACCCTGACCATAAAAAAAAATATCTCAGCCCTTTTTGAGTATTTTAGAGGAAACAAACTGCTGGACAAACTATGTCCAACTCAGGACTTTAAAAAAAAAAACCCACTCAGGAAGAAGCAGACTCACTTTGATAGGGACACTCCCCCAGCTTTCCCAATCATTTCTTCGTGATGCAAAACTGCAGGATTCCATGGGATGTGGAGGAACTTGAGGAGCGTCCTGAGCCACTGCTCGGGGTGCAAGACCAGCTGCTCATAATACATCATCATGCAACGGTCAAGGCCAGCCTCCAAGCACTGGTTGTACATGATCTCAATGGCACGGTTCCATTTGGTCAGGCAATCCCTGTAGCTACTCAGATCAAAGCCAGCAATGGTGACCTTCCTGGAGATCATGGAATGAACGGAGGCTCGGCCATCTCTGACCATTAAAATAAACTTGGCATTGGGGAAAATCCTGGCCAGGTAAGTTAAAGACTTGAGGGCAAAGGGGTCCTTGTTGCACAGGTAAGGCGCTGGCTCTCCATGCTTCACGATAATTTCCAAGAGGAAGGCCTGCATGGCTGAGTCCAACACCTCGTCTGTGACACCTGCTTCATTGAGCCGCATTTTCTCTTTGCTTGATCGGGCCCACATCTGCTTGATGGCCAAAATCCGAGGGATGACCCGTGTCTCTTCTCCACAACGGATGTCCGGGTGAGCATCTAGCATCGCCCGCATCAAGGTTGTACCACTCCGGGGTACTCCCCCAATAAATATTAAAGGCATGTCTTTGTTATAAGCCTGTGTGGCATTTTCCTTCGTGCTGTGGCTGGTTCTTGGGGTTGCTTTGGCTGGCTCCAGTCGGGACAGTTGGCTTCGCTCCTCTATTTGGTGATGGCATTCCATAGCATGTTGCCCCAAGTAGAAGACAGTCACTGAACTAATCACCAGGCAGACCACCAAGAGGTTCTTCTTGAGTTTCCCTACCATCTTTTGTAGAGAAGCCACTTCATGCGGTTAGAGGTGGCTGGCCAGCCCAAGTCACTGCCTGTGTTTCATGCCATGGAGAATGTGATCCCAAGAGATCAAGACTTGCTGGAAAAGAGGAACAAATAAAGGAAACAAAAGGAAACAAAATAAATCTGAGTACTGTGATTAAATGCAAAGAACTTCTCTCCTCCCAAGCAACATTCCAGCTATTAAAATAATAACACTCTCAATCATCAATGATCAAGAGTTGATGGGATCCAGTAGTTACAACACAAGATTGTAATTTTGAATGTCTATGGAAATTTTCAGTCATCCATGTCATGGTTGTCCCAAAGGTGTTTTTCCAAAATGCAAATGGACTTTCTTTGTTTTTCGTTGAAGACATTTTGCTTCTCATCCAAGAAACGTCTTCAGTTTTTGGGATAAGAAGCAAAACGTCTTCAAGGAAAAACAAAGAAAGCCCAGTTTGCCTTTTGGAAAAGCACCTTTGGAATTAAATTGGGAAGACCCAGATTCACCACTATCATCACCCCACAAAGCCGTGAAAAGACCCAAACCACTCATGGAGTTGTTGTGAGAACAAAAATGAAAGGTAGGGGGGGATGTAGAGGAAACATTTACATATTATCTTGAGCTTGTTGGAAAGTCAGAATATAAAGATAAAAACTAAACAAATACAGTGGTATCTCGGTACTCGACTGCTTCAAAAGTTGTCAAATTTGGTACAACACATTTTGACGTAACAATGTTTCCCGGTACTCATTGTTTGTTTGGTCTTGATGCACTGTGACAGGAAAAGGGGAACAGCCACGGACCACAGACAGGAAATTGGCCATGTAGGGAAGGTTGCTGCAGAGGGTGGACAGGAAGTCAGCCATGCTGGGAAGGTCACTGACATAGGGAAAGAGACAAACAAGAAGTTCTTCCCATCCAAAACAAAAGGTCATGTAGTAAGTCACGTGGTTCATTTGGCACTCATTGTTTTTAGTACTCATCGTGCCTTCTGGAATAATTAATGAGAAATACAGAAGTACCACAGTAAATTATTTTCAGGAAGTCCTGGACAATAAGAGATGGTCACAGCTCAAGGGCACAGCATGTGGTTTAAAATGAGGTCAAGGAACCTATACCACAACAAAGTTCATAGAGCCATAATCCTCATCATCACAATTAGGCCATGCTGGCTAAGGATTCTAGAAAGGAGAATCTCATCTATTCTCAAGACAAGAAAGCCACAAGTTTTTTACATTCTGGTAGCCAGAACTGTAAGAGCGGAGAATGCTGGTTTAGATCAATACATGATCCAATTCAATATATGCAGAACCACAATTTAACTAAATAATATGGGTACATACAACTGAATCAACCACAACAAACATAGTCAAGCTTAACACCAACAAAATTTAGCATGTTATTAAGTATCACCCTAAAATTCTCCGCAGTTGACTCTATGGAGATGGTTTAGTGCATCCACCTAATCTGTGTGTGTTTCAGGACACTAATATATCAGGCAACAATACAGTGATTTGCAAATTATTCTCTAAATTAGTGTTCTTATCTGCTTAAAGAGGATGACGTGGACATGCTTGGAGTAAAACTGAGATTTAATTGCACTTGTAGTCCACCAGCCGAAACTGACATTACTATTTTTGTTACTAGCAGAGGGTGCTATACATGGCAATGTGCAACTAAGGCTGGAAACTTCTCTATACTTCTTCTGTTTCACTAAAAAGCATTATGTGCAAGATTTTTACTGATCAAAGACACACTAAGGAGTGGAAGTACAAATCTGTATGCTCAGCTAATACAGTGTTTTCAAATTTAGCAACTTTGAGATGTATAGACTTTACCTGGCTGGAGAATTCTGAGAGCTGATGTCCACATATCTTTAAGATTTCCAATTTTTAAAAAAAAACCTGATCTAATAACAAGCAAACATGGAAACAACAGAAAAAATGCAGAGCAATTTGCATGAAAACAAAACTTATGTTAGAAGAGGGTGAGATGGGCTAAACAAGAAACATCAAGCAGGGATAACAATTAAAAATAATGAAATTATTTGTGATAAATCTGAAGGAGGAATATTAGTGCAATGAATATTTTCAAGAGCAATGTGGTATAATTGTCAAAAGGGGTAGTAAAATATATATTGTAAATGTTAGTGTACAACAATGACGTGCGGTGAGGTTTATGGCTGGTGAGGCAGTCCTCTCCCCTGACACCCCACTGACTAAAGCGCTTTCTTTCACCCACCTGAGCTCGCAGCAGCCCACCTGAGCTCTGCCGCGAGCTCAGGTGGGCGAAAGAAAGTGCTTTAGTCAGTGGGGTGTCAGGGGAGAGGACTGCCTCACCAGCCATAAACCTCACCGCACGTCATTGTTGTACACTAACATTTACAATATATATTTTACTACCCCTTTTGAC